GCGCACGCCGGAGTGAGAGCAATAATTCTAGGGCCAGTATTTTGGGGTATCTCTAAATTGATGACCTGTGGGGGCTTTTAAAGCGTCTTCTATTGACTTTTTGGGGTACTGCAGTTTTTCGCCGTTTCACGGACGCACGCAATTTGTAACCTATGCATGTTGGGTATCGTTTTACTCGTTGTAACCTCATCTTTTATATGTCATTTAAAAAATTGGTATTTTGTTGTGTTTTGGGGCATTAAATTAAATTTTTCACTAAATGTTGGTGTTTAATAAGGAGTTGCGCTAATATTGCGCAACATAAAAATTTGCAACTACCACCATTTTATTCTATAGGGTCTTGGCATTCAGAAAATATATAATGTTGGGGGGTTTTAAGTCATTTTCAGGCCTAAAATGTGGAATATAACATGGGTGCAAAAAATGAAAAAAGGGCCTCAGTCATGAAGGGGTTAAAGATTGGCCAGAAAAAAAGCCATTGCTTACAGAAAAAAGTAAGCAAACATGTTTGCTGTTTACCAAAAGACATGTGGGAGACTTCCTAAACATATGGAAGAAGGAACTCTGGTCAGATGAGACTAAAATTAAGCTTTTTGGCCTTCAAGGAAAACGCTGTCTGGTGCAAACGCTAGACCTTTCATCACCCTGAGAACACCATGGTGGTGGCAGCATCATGCTGTGGGGATGTTTTTCATCAGCAGGGACTGGCAGACTGGTCAGAATTGAAGGAATGATGGATGGCGCTGAATACCGGGCAATTCTTGAGGGAAACCTCTTTCAGTTTGCCAGAGATTTGAGACTAGGACAGAAGTTCAGCTTCAAGCGACTTGACCCTAAGCATACTGCAAAGCAACACTAGAGTGGTTTAGGGGGTAACATTTAAAGGTCTTGGAATGGCCTAGTCAAAGCTTAGACCTCAATCCAATTGAGAATCTGTGACTTAAAGATTGCTATACACCACAGAAACCCATCCAACTTGAAGGAGCTGAAGCAGTTTTGCCTTGAAAAATGGGCAAGAATCCCAGTGGCTAGATGTGCCAAGCTTATCGAGACGTACCCCAAAAGACTTGCAGCTCTATTTGATGCAAAAGGTGGCTCTACAAAGTATTGACTTTGGGGGGGTTGGGTGAATAGTTATGCACGCTCAAGTTTTCTGTTTGTATGTCTTATTTTTTGTTTGTATCACAATAAAAATATGTTGCAACTTCAATGTGGTAGGCATGTTGTGTAAATCAAAATGATACAAACCCCCAAATAACTCAATTTTAATTCCAGGTGGTAATGCAACAAAATAGGAAAAATGCCGGGGGGGGGGGGGGGGTTTTTTTATACAATACTTTTGCAAGCTTCTGTAAAGGAGTAGGTAATACTTGTTTCATTATAACTATTATTGCATGGCAGATTAGACACTTACTAAAAATGTTAAAATTCTGGTTAGAACAAGTGGACTGACATGCAGAGTCAATTATCAACACAGCTGAAGGCAATTAAAGTAGCAATGCTGTGGTGTAGTCATTGTTTCCATGTTAGGCCGAGACTACAACCTCCCTTATATCTCCCAAAAATGCTGCGTTAACAAAAGCCTGTACATTATAGGCAATCGTGACTAACCATAGATGATCGTGCATACAATTCACTTGCTCAGCTGAAAACTGCCTTTGTAGTTTGGCTCTTAAAGTCCATTTCCACCTTTGTTAGTGATTAGCATTTATTGTGGTAATGTATATAGTGATGATATATATGTGTGCACATTTTAATGACTCACATTGCAAGTTTGTTCATTATTTTATGAACTTAGGCCTGAATCCTACAGATTCAAAATGTTCTCCACAGGAAACTCCGCCTGGCACCGAGATCAGATTGTAAAGCAGGCTGTAAACTGCTGCCCTCCTCCCTGTGATTCTGTGTAACACGATCGCTAAACACCAGCTCTGCCTTAAGGGCTGGTTCACACCATATCCAGTGTGTTCCAGCATGGCTAGTGCCCAGAACACACTAGATCGCATAATTAAAGCCTCCCGCGTTCTGGGACGGGAGGAGGAATGGTAGTGCCATTCATGTCAGTGGCACCGCAGACACACCTCTTGCCCGCAGCACTATGTTTGCGATCGCACCGCACCAGAATGCAGGGCATTGCTGTACTACGCGTTCTGGCGTAGGCGATCGCACTGCGGGCAGGAGGCGCCAAGCCCCCTCCTGCCCCAAAATGTGGGAGGCTTTAATTATGCAATCCAGTGTGTTCCACGCACTAACTATGCCGGAACACACTCAATATGGTGTGTACCAGCCCTCACAAACAATACACTATCCAGTGGGTTGCCACTATGAATACTAATGAATGGGGGTTGGAGAGCTCAGTTGTAATATACGAACATTGCTTCCATAGCACAGAGGCGGCCATTTCCATGAGGATATGAAGAGGAAACCTAACAAAAAACGTACGTTTCTGTGTTCATATACAGCAACTGCATATGCCTGTACTCAGTGTACATTGCTGGCAGCTCGCGTTATACTGAGACCACCAGAGCCGGAATGGATCCCGACATTACTGTCGAGATCCACCCAGCTGCATGAGTGACAGCTGGCTCTGCCTATCTAAAAGGCAGAGCCAGCTGTACCCTGCCCCCTCCCCCGTCCGTTCCTCCAGTCAGAGCAGGAGTGGAGTGGGGATGGGGGGGGGGATCCCTGCAGTGTTGTGAACCTCCTAGCAACCAACATGGCACCTGTGCGTTATACACTGTAGGCATGTAAACAATGCACAAATGTTACATGCATACAGAGCACTTTTCACAAAGGATCTGGCCGCCAGCTTCTGGCAGCAAGATCCTGCATACTAATTGCCATACTTTCATATAGGCGTGTGCCCTAAAAGTCATTACAGACAGAAGTGACAGGACGGTTGAAAAATAAAGGAATACCAAGAAAAAAGGTGAATGATTACCTGGTAGCCCTCTAGGTCACCTGGCTCTAATATAGCGCTGCCAGTGCTCCACGCCCTGGACTTGCTTGAATCACAGATCAGTGGAACTGCAAAGAAAAAAAAGAGGCAAAATGTTTATTTGTTAAAAAAAATGCTGCCATTGTGAAATCAATTAAACACTTCATTTAGGATCACTGGGATACTGAAAAAAAATATAGAGAGTTGGAAGGTACAACAACCCCAATGATCTCCTTTTGGAGAAGTGTAGCAGAGGGTTAATTTGTGAAGATATATGGCCAATATAAGATCTTAAGGAAATGTTTCCTGTAAAAATTGCAGTATATAAACACAAAGTAAATGATAAAAGAAACAGAACTTGCAAACAGAATGCTATAGTTAATTTTTGACTGACTGGTGAGACAGCGCCAAATTTTTAAAGCCCTGTATAGTTATGTCAAGAATCTAACCACATTGGGAACGCAGTACATAGCACAGTTTATCTTGTCTTTGTAAAGTATATAGTGTAGGCAAAACTATTACAAGTTCTACAACATAAATGTACTCATGCCTCAAAACAGATACAGAAGCGTCTCATCTTATAAAAGGCATTTGCAAAGTAGAAAATAGTGATTCAATACATTTGTCACATTTTTACCAGAGCATTCATTCCTATTTGAAGATTTTCCCTCATCGCTTGCTTTCCAGAAAACGTCGACATTTAGGATACACACTTACTTTCTGTCTCATAAAAAAAGGTCAGCAGGCCAAACAGAGGACTGAATCTCTCTAGCTGGGACACAGACAGGAATAAAAGCTTGACAGAGGGTCTAAGCCTTTCCCTCTCCACCCAAAACGAAATAATAAATATTTGGCCTTTTGGCCTTGTTCACACCAAGCGCGTTCCAGGAGCAGAGCAGTTACAGAACGGATCAAAACTGCGTCCAATGTATTCCAATGGTATTTTGGGCTCTAGTTCACACCGCAGCGTTCAGTTCCAGGGCATGTAAAAAAAAACTGCAGCAAGCCCTATTTTACCTGCTCTGGTGTGGATGGAGATTACTCCATCCACACAGTTAAGGAATCTGGAGGAATCTGTTGCACCTTTTCCATCTGACCATAGAAAATCTTGTTATATGTTGTATGAGTTGTATGAGTTGTATGGCCAGCTTTAGTCTTAAAAGCAAAGGCTGCTCAAATATAAAATGTGAAACTCAATTGTTTTCTTATAATACATTTTTATTGTTATTTATTAACTCAATACAGTTTTATCTTTTAGATTTAGTCAGAAAATATTTTTTTTTGTGCACGGATACTGATTTTGGTGTGTTTTAACAATTGAATTGTGTATTTTTATCGGTTTAATATTAATTTGAGAAACATTTGCGCAATTATCGCAGGGCCTACAAATTTAGTATCACCATCTTTTTATTCCAATGGGCCTGCGCTTTCAGAAAATATATGGTTTGGGGGGTCTTTTACAAACGCTAGCAAACTCTCTGGCAAGTATTGAATGTTTATTTATAAAATAATGATTTCACACACGCTATTTTTTTTTTTTTAATTTCCCCAAATTACAACTTAACAATACAAGCTCTTTTTTTTTTTTGCATTGCCCACCCCCTGAATAAAAAATACACAGTGAGAGCGAAAAAATGCACTTTAAGAAAAAAAACACGCAAAATACTTAACTTACACCCCAGCTTCTGGCCGCTTCTTGTAGGCACACTGCAGACTTTGGCCGGTTCACCCCAAAGCGTTACACTAAACGATACCATGCGGTGAGCACATGCTATTGCATAGCACACCTAGCGGTGACCATGCGTTACAGCACAGCACAATGCGTGGTACCATATTGAACTACTTGTTTCTCACTACAGCATGCACAACTTTTTCCCACTGTAACGTATGCGTGCTGGGAGGTGCGTTGGGGTATCATTTAAATGGATAGCACCGCAACACACCTAGTGCACAGTACGGATGCTAGGTGTGATAGCGTGTGCTAAACACATGGTATTGTGCATTTAGTGCAATGCTTAGGTGTAAACCAGTCCTTTGCTGGGCCACACCGTGGGATCCTAGGAAAGCGCAAGGTCACAAATCTCAATTAAAAAAAAAAAAGCTTAATTTTGTAATGATTATAACTTTTTAAAATTATAATGGTGTTTTTTATTATTTAGCAATTTTAGATATAATCAGGGATTTGCCGATGTCTACTTTCAGTTTTATCTCGCATTATCTTGTACTGTAATAACAAATTTAAGACACAATAACCAGTCAGTGCATTTTGAAAGGTGTGTAATTCGCAACAAAGACTGTATACAGGGAAAGACAAACTAAAAGCAAAGAGGTAGCTGTAATTAGGTCAGCGTAGAACAGAAACTACAAAGCATATGGGTTTTTCCTCATAATTTAAGGGCACTTGTCTGGTTATTTAAACGTTGTTATATTTGCAAGAAATCTAAATGTAAAAACACTTGTGCTCCTTAGCAGATGTAGCAGTAGTAAAGGAAATGCAGATGGTAAAAATATTGTGCTTTTATGTATAAAGTCACTGGCTAAAAACTCTGCTCTGAAGATCATGCCCTCTAAAATTCGTAGATCAATGGATTATGGCATAAGTCTACTTTACAGGGAGAATTAGTGTTAAAACCAACAAATCACTTTTAATGTACATTACAGAACTCTTCAAGCACAGGGACAGACTTACACAGGCCTTTTTTTTTAACTAAATAAATACTGAATGAATTCAGTATTTGTAAAATTGGCACCACACTCTGCATAGCAAGAATGGCTGGGTTTTCACTCAAGGCTTCCTTATATTCAAATATATGTCTGCAATCTGAGAAGTGTAGGCTGATAGCTGTGATGAACCCTACCGTTCACATATACACACTTTACAAACTGCCCCAGACACCAAAAGGGGAATTTATCAAAACTGGAGCAGGCAGAAACTGGAGCAGTTGCCAATGGCAACCAAGCAGATTCTCTCTTCAGTTTGTTCAGTTAAGATTTGAAAATGAAAGAGAGAAGCTGATTGGTTACCATGGGCAACTGCTCTAGTTTCTGCCTGCCCCGGTTTTGATAAATTCCCCTCCATGTATCTCAGTTACCATCATCAAATAATACAATGCAAAAAACAAACAAACATATCAGTGATTGATTAAAGCAAACCTATAAGTAGGCAGACACGTAGGTGTTAGAGTAACAACAGTTGAGAAATAACTGCCCCTATTGGAGGGTGGCAGTCCCTCAAGGGACTTGTGAGATTGATATTCAGCTGGACCCAGCCAATCAGTAGATCTGTTTAAACACTGATCCTCTCCTTCAAAAAGCTATTTTATAGCGCTGCAAGCCAGGGTGAGAAGATTTCATTTTGCTAGTAATTCGGTATTGACAATCATTACTGTAATGACTAGGTCATTACTGAGCTCCAACTTCTTTTTGTGAAGTCACATTCTATAAAGAGGAATAGTTGCAAAGGTCTAACTGACAGCTTAAGATGCCATTAGCAAAGGCTCCATGAACAGTGAGTGCCGCTATGGCATTTACAGCTTCACTAGTCACAGCAGGCACCTATAATGGGCAATCCCGCAACCACTCCTATCAGCTGTATACCAACAGATTATAAAGTGTGCTTTGATACTTTGGGAATTACTACTCAATACAGTTGTATGATTTTACAGAGAATTACTATTTTAATTGTGGAGCATTGATCCATAAAAATCCATGCTCGCGACCTTCATTGTGTCTAAATGATAAGAGTTATGAATGCACAATCAAGTCAATTTTTGTATTAGCACTTCCAAGTATAAATATGATTAACTAACATAATTCAAGGACCTGCTTGTTAGGTTGCAGATCTACTACGGGTTCAAGGGAGAATAAATGTATAACATCCTCATGCTTACAAGATATCTAAATAAAGAACAGTGTTGGTTACCCAAAGAATGGATCAGACATCCCCTTTCATTTTTGTATGGAATTTGGAAAAAAAACAAATGAAGAATCTCACTGGCTATAAGGCCCCATTCACACCTAGGCGTATTGTAATATGCGCGTCCGTCACACGTTTTTTTTACAGCGATTCGCGGTAAAAAAGTTGCGCGACCGTCGCGCGATTCCAAAGGCTACTTGGCTGTATCCCAATGGAAAACGCCCTACAAAACGGCCCAAAGTAGTCCCGGGACCTTTTCAGGCGTGGGCCGTTTTGTAGGGCGTTAGGGACGGGCGGAAATACGCCTAGGTGGGAACGAGGGCATTGACTACAATGCTATTTATTTTTTTGACCGTTTTGTAGCGCGTTCGTCGAGCGTAGGACGCGCTACAAAACGGTCAGGTGTGAACGCAGCCTAAAAGACAGCTAGAATGGTTTAAACTTTTGTACAATCGCCCCTGGGTGGTAAAAATAAAAATTCAAGCAATCAAACTGTTATTTGTCAGTTACAGTGTTATTCACAAAAGGGTGAAGAGTTTGGAGAAGGCAGGAGAAGTGAACAATCTAGGACAACATAGCTAAACTGGAAAGTGAGCTGAATTGGAGAATGTTTCCAGTTCAGCTATGTTGTCCTAGATTGTTCACTTCTGCCTTCTGCAAACTCTTCACCTTTTTGTGAATAACCCTGTAAATGTTTCGGAATAAATGGAAAAGCGTGAGAGAATGCTGATACTGTTTTGGTTTCCTAAATGACAGCCTCACCTGCACGGACTTGTAAAATCATATATTCCATAGTGCAGGAAGATGTATGTCCCTACATATATATTCCATTAGTTATAAATAGCTGAAAATCAGCATTTGTGTGTGTGTCGTTGTCAACAGAGGACGAGACTCTGAGTTCTTTTATGAATAGGTGAATTTATTGACTATACAGCAATATTGGAGAGATACAAGAGTACTCTGCTAAAGTGTTCTTACACTCACAATTTATATTTTAACCGAGTACAAGTGTCGTTGACAGTCCCCAGGCAACATAAAGGTGTAAGTGTCTTGTTTACAGTATTAGATTTAGGATCAATTCAGTACATGATTTATGTGTCATAATCAGCTACCTGGACACTAGGAATTCTTAATGAAGGTGAGATGGTTAAACAGGAAATTGACCATTGTTTT